GGTCCATATATACAATGGAATATTACTCAGCCATCAGAAAGGATGAATACCCAACTTTTACATCAACATGGATGGGACTGGAGGAGATTATATTAAGTGAAATAAGTCAAGCAGAGAAAGTCAATTATCATATGCTTTCACTTATTTGTGGAACATAATAGTATGGAGGACATTAGGAGAAGGAAGGGAAAAATGAAGGGGGGGGAAATTGGAGGGAGAGATGAACCATGAGAGACTATGGACTCTGAGAAACAAACAGGGTTTTAGAGGGGAGGGGGAAGGGAGGATTGGTTAGCGCAGTGATGGGTATTAAGGAGGGCACAGACTGCATGGAGCACTGGGTGTTATACGAAAACAATGGATTGTGGATCACCACATCAAAAACTAATGATGTATTGTATGGTGACTAACATAACATAATAAAATAAAAAAAAATGGGCCTGAATTCCCTAAATGTGAATAGAGGTACTTCTAGCCATTAGATAAGTTCCAATACCCTAAATCTATATAAATAAGTGACTAATTCATTAACTAAACCAGGAGACTCCTGAGCACAAAAGGGGGGTGGCTTTTAGTAATTACTCCAAAACAGGCCTAAATCCAGAAACGTCCCAGACAACAGATTTAAGTAGGTGTATGTATAGAATATTGCATAGGTCCTTCACTAGGACTAGAATTCTGTTCCAGGGATACTGCCACCACCCCTGCTCAACAGAGATGTTAATATCAGATCAAGAGCTCTCACAGCTACTATGATCTTATGTTCCAAATTTGCTAAAGCAGCTCTCAGTAATAACCTACCCTTTTATCCCCATAAATACATTTACAATTTAAAATGTCATTTCTCCCAATGAAAATGAAAACAATGGTCCAAAATCTTTGGGATGCAGCAAAAGTGGTTCTAATAAGGAAGTCTATAGCAATACAGGCCTACTGTAAGAAGAAAACTGTCAAATGAACAACCTAACCTTACACATAAAGGAGCTAGAAAAAGAAGCAAAACCCAAAACCAGCAGAAGAAAGGAAATAAAGATTAGAGCACAAATATAGAAATTAAAAAAAAATAGATCAGTAAAACCAGGAGCTAGTTCTTTGAAAGAACAAAATGGATAAACCTCTAGTCAGACTCATCACAAAAGAGGATCCACATAAAGTCACAAATGTCACAAATGTCACAAATGAAACACCAACACCACAGAAATACAGTTTTAAGGGATTATAAAAAGTTATATGCCAACAAATTGGACAACCTTAAAGAAATGAATTCCTTAAAAACATAACCTATCAAAACTGAAGCAGGAAGAAATAGAAACTTTGAACAGACTGATTACCAGGAATGAAATTGAATCAGTAATCAAAAAACTCCCAACAAACAGAAGTCCAAGACCAGATGGCTTCACAGGTGAATTCCAAATATTTAAAGAGTTAATATCTATTCTCCTCAAACTACTCCAAAAAATAGAAGCAGAAGGAAAATTTCCAAATTCATTTTATGAGGCCAGTAGCATCCTGATACCAAAACCAGATAGAGATACCACACAAAAATAGAAGTACAGGCCAGTATCTCTGATGAACATAGATGCAAAATCCTCAACAAAATACTAGCAAACTGAATCCAACAATACATTTAAAAAAAAAAAAAAATCATTCACCACGATCAAGCAGGATTTTTTCCTGGGATGCAAGGATGGTTCAATATTCGCAAATCAATGTGATACATCACGTCAATAAGGATAAAAACCATATGCTCATTTGAATAGATGCAGAAAAAAGCATTTGACAAAGTAAAACATCCATTCATGATAAAAACCCTTAACAAAATAGGTTTAGAGAAAACCTACCTCAACATAATAAAGGCCTTATATGAAAAACCCACAGCTGGGGTACCGGGGTGGCTCAGTTGGTCAAGTATCTGACTTTGGCTCAGATCATGATCTCAGGGTCCTGGGATCGAGCCTCATCTTGGGCTCCCCATTCAGTGGGGAGTCTGCTTGTCTCTTTCCCTCTGCCCCTCCCCGTTTGTGTGCTCACTCAAATAAATAAAATCTTTAAGAAAGAGGAAAGTAAAACCCACAGCCAAAATCATACTCAATGGGGAAAAACAGAGCTTTTCCTCTAAAATCAGGAACATAACAAGGGTGTCTACTCTTATTACTTTTATTCAAAATAGTACTGGAAATTCTAGCCACAGCAATTAGACAACAAACAAAATAATAGGCATCCAAATTGTTAAGAAGTAAAACATTCACTATTTGCAGATGGGGTGATACTGTATGTAGAAAACCCTAAAGACTCCAAAATACTACTAGAACTGATAAATGAATTCAGTAAAGTCACAGGATACAAAAATCGATGTACAGAAATTTGTTCCATTTTTATACACCAATAATGAAGCAGCAGAAAAAGAAAATAATCCCATTTACAGGTGTTCTAAAAAACCAAATATCTAGGAAGCTTAACCAAAGAGGTGAAAGGCCTATACTCTAAAAACTATAAAACACTGATTCTTTGGATCAAGAAGATCCAAAGAAATGGCAAGGCATTCCATGCTCATGGACTGGAAGAACAAATATTGTTAAAATTCCTATACTATCCAAAGTAATCTACACATTTAATGCAATCCCTATCAAAATACCAATGGCATTTTTCACAGAGCTAGAACAAACAATCCTAAAATTTGTATGGAACCACAAAAGACCTTGAATAACCAAAACATCTTAAAAAGAAAAGCAAAACTGAAGACATCACAATTCCAGACTTCAGGTTATATTACAAAGCTGTAGTAATTAAAATAATACAGTACTGGCATAAAAACAGACATGTAGATCAATAGAACAGAAAACCCAGAAGTACGTCCACAACCATATGGTCAATTAATCTTCAGCAAAGCAGCAAAGAATATCCAATGGGAAAAAGACAATCTCTTCAACAAATGGTGCTGGGAAAACTGGACAACTACAGGCAAAAGAATGAAACCGATCTCTCTATCACACCATGCACAAAAATAAACTCAAAATGGATTAAAGACCTAAATGTGAGACCTGAAACCATAAAAATCCTAGAAGAGAACACAGGCAGCATTTCTCTGGCATCAGCCATAGTAACAGTTTTTTTTAGAGATGTCTCCTAAAGCAAGGGAAATAAAACTATTAGGACTACATCAAAATACCAAAGCTTCTAAAAAAAATTACAAAGCTTCTGCATAGCAAAGGAAACAATCAACAAGACTAAAAAGCAACCTATGGAATGGGAGAAGACATTTGCAAATGGCATATTCAATAAAGAGTAGTATCCAAAATATATAAAGATCTGATACAACTCAATACCTTAAAAACAAATAATCCAATTAAAAAATGGGCAGAAGACATGAAAAGACATTTCTCCAAAGACATCCAAATGGCCAACACATGAAAAGATGCTCAACATTACTCTCATCATCAGGGAAATGCAAATCAAAACTACAATGAGATACCACCTCACACCGGTCAGAATGGCTAAAATCAAAAGCACAAAAAACAACAAATGTTGGTGAGGATGTGGAGAAAAAGGAACCCTCTTTCACCATTCCTGGGAAGACAAACTGGTGTAGCCACTATAGAAAACAGTGTGGAGGTTCCTCAAAAAGTTAATAGAAATACCCTACAATCCAGTAATCACACTGAGTATTTACCCAAAAATACAAAAACACTAATGCAAAGAGATACACACACCCCTATGTTTAAGGCAGCATTATTTACAACAGCCAAATTATGGAAATAGCCCACGTCCACTAATACATGAATGGATAAAGAAGAGGTGGTGTGTGTACACACACACACAATGGAATATTACTCAGCCATAAGAAATGAAACCTTACCATTTGCAACAACATGGATGGAGCTAGAGAGTATAATGCTAAGCAAATTAAGTCAGAGAAAGACAAATATCAAATGGTCTCACTTCCATGTGGAATTTAACAAACAAGCAAAGGAAAGAAAAAAAAGAGAAACCAAGAAATAGACCCTTAACAATAGAGAACTGATAGTTACCAGAGAGGGGGGTGGATGAAATAGGTGATGGGGATTAAAGAGTACATTTATCACAATGAGCACTAAATAATGTATAGAATGGTTGAATCACTATACTTATTCACCTGAAGCTAATATAACACTATGTTAACTATGCTGGAATTAAAAACTTAAAAAACAAAGTATCATTTGCTCTAATTTCTGATTTGGCAAGTGTAGCAACAGCAAAATAGTATCCCCTTCCTTCTGTTCAGAAATAAGAGGGTTTAAAAATCAGATTCAAAGGGGCAAAAGATCAGTGCTACTGATCTTAGGGGTAGAAAGCATTCACATGTTAAAGAATAATTCAAGTATTTTTTTTAATTTTTCATTATTATGTTAATCACCATACATCACATCATTAGTTTTTAATGTAGTGTTCCATGATTCATTGTTTGTGCATAACACCCAGTGCTCCACGCAGAATGTGCCCTCTTTAATACCCATCACCAGGCTAACCCATCCCCCGACCCCCCTAATTCAAGTATTTTTAATAAGTGTTTTCAGAGATTTTCAAGTGTTAAAAAGTTGCTCAAGTAACTCTTAAGTTAACTGTGAAGAAAATATTAAACATCTTAGAAAGTTTAAAGGACGAGTTTACTTACAATTGACATTAGAGTTAGTACATAATGCTGCAGATTCTGTCCATGATGATGAACCATTTTAGCGTCAGCTGTAACCATGACTTCCACGTATCTTGGATAGGATAAGAAACGTTTTTTCCTGGAATGTAATTGACTTCTTTCATCTTCCAAGGATTTATTTTTTGAAGGATATCCTAAAACCATTTCCTTCTTTACATTAAGATCATTCATGTTGCTGTGGTTGTGAAGGGGTAAAGTGGTCTGTTTTACTTGACTTTCTGGGGGGAAGAAAAGAATATAATGCAGAGCCATTAAGTCAGATGGGACTAAAAATATTGCACAAAGTAGATAGCCAAAAATTTAATACATACACATCTGCTTCCAATGTGAAATACAAGGATAAAAAGAAGTTAAACAGAGTTATTATGCAGCAGTATCACGAGGATTAATATTACTAGTAATAAAATATTCATTCTCATAGATTGCCCTAAGAAAAATCAAAATCCAAGTCTTTTTTTTTTTTAAACAGCATGACTGTTCAAGAGGCTGCATATGGGTTGCTCTCCAAGTCCTGCATTTCATACTGATTCATATATTCATGATATTTGTTATTAAATTCTTAAATAGTAACATACCAAACTAACAGGTATTAAAATATGACATCTCTCACTACTACCATGTAGTATTATTTTGGTAATGCTACCTAAAGCAGTAAGACAATAAAATGAAATATACAGTATGAATATTAGGAAGAAAGTTTTCATTGTTTTTCTTTTGCATATAAATGGCTTTTATAACTAAAGTCCCAAGAGACTCAATTTATGACTTTTCAAACTAACAACCTCAACACAGGAAAAACTGAATAATGAAATGTTATTCAGCTATTAAAAAATGAATTAGGTCTGTGGGTCTGATATGGATGTCCATGTTTTTTTTAAGTAAAAATTTAAGTGTCAGTAATATGTATAGTATGATCTTATTTTTGTAGAAACTTCTGAAGAATACACAAGTTTTTAGCCATAAAAATTTATATAATGAGCCAAAAAGGTATGTAAGTATACACCTCAAACTTTTTTTTTTTTTTTTAAAGATTTTATTTATTTGAGAGAGAGAGTGAGAGCATGAGAGGAGAGAGGGTCAGAGGAGAAGCAGACTCCACACTGAGCAGGGAGCCCGATGTGGGACTTGATCCTGGGACTCCGGGATCATGACCTGAGCTGAAGGCAGTCACTTAACCAACTGAGCCACCCAGGCAACCTACACCTCAAACTTTTAACATTGCGGTATTGGAGGGGGACTAGAAGGTGGGTAGAACTATTTAATTCTTTAACATCTCCGTGTCCATTAAGCCATTACAATAAATTTGTTTTATTATTGTAATTTTTTAGTTACCCATGCTTTTTAAAAACAGCATCTATAACTTTTATAGGCTAAACATTAATCCCATTATGTTTTGATATTCATAATTAAGCAGTGTTATCAAATGATAAAATGACCTTTCCAAATATCCAACTGGGCATTATTCAAAGTTCATTTGTCAATTACATCATCTTTATGAAATACCTGTCTTTATTTACGTTCCAAGTCAAATGCTAAATGATGTGCCATCTTTTATTAATAGCAAGTGTGTTAGGACCCAAAAATAATTTAGAGCAAACCATACCCACCAAATCAAGATCATACAATGGATAATCTGCCCACCAGAACATAAAATATTTAATTACATCTATAAATATAACACTTTTAATAGAATAGTGTATCATAGAATGCAAGGAGATTATTGAAAATAATCCCTAATATAAACTACTAAAAAATTTGCTGTTAAACAATGTAATTAAAAACCCATAGTTCTACATAAACGCCCTACTGGCACTTCATATTCAAATTATATAATATTGAATTTTCTTTTCTTATTCCCAGATTTGGTCTATTATTATGAGTAGTAACTTCCTAATATGCATAACTCACACTAAACCATGCACTACCATTGAGTTCTTCCTGTCCTTTTACCCTCTGTATCTGGTCACAACGTTTTGCCATTTCGCTTTTAAATTTTTTCCTTATTTTGTTCCTATTGTCAACAGTGTCCAGGTCTCTAAGCTCTTTTAGGTCCTTCTCACCTTAGAATATTAGAGTAATTAATGCAAAATTAAACAAAGTCTCCAAACTGGCCTCACCAACTTCAATCCCTGTCCCACCCCTCTTCATTCTTCATTCACATCCACAAAATTCATTTTCAGGAGTATCCCTTTTATCTCGAGAAATTACCACTGATCCACACTGATCATAAGTCCAAGTCCTTCCCCACAGCCCACCACTAAATAATGTTGTCATACCAGCACTACCAACAAGCTATAAACTCTTTAAACACTAAGAACACTGTTGGGCAATGGGTTATGCCCTTTGTAAGTGCTCAACAAATGTTCATGGAGAGAAAAAAAAAATTAGGAAAAAGGATTGATAGAAAATTGGGAGAGAAAGGGAAGAAAGGAACACACTGAGGGACAAAAGGTTTGTAAGACCAGAAATTCAGGGTATGAATACTTCTAACTGTGATGTACAATAGCAGCAGTTCAAAGATGGAGAGATTGCTTTTGATTTTCCTGATAGCAAGTAAAATACTCTGGTCTCTACATAGGTTAGAACTGATACTTAATGCTCTGTATTGGACCACAGGAACAAATTTTATACTTCTCCAACAGCATGTAACTATTTTGAACACGAGCATAAAATGAAATGAAGCTTATTCTGGATCATCAGCATTTAAACCACTGGTTAAATGGCCAACAGGGCTCCCAGTTCAAAGAACTGTGTGTGCCCTGAAATAGTGATATCAGATATTATGAAATCTAACTTATTTCCTCAGGATTTAAACTTTTCTGGATTATATGTCCTATTATGCCATGCTATGGAGTTGTATTATTAATACTACTATGAACAATAATAAACCTAATAAGCACTTAAGGAGTAATTTACCATGTACCAGATACTGGTATACTTCATATAAGTTATCTCCTTTATTATTAATTTTGTAAGGTAGGTACTGTTAGTATCCTCATTTTATATGTGAAGAAAGTGGGAAACAGGAAAGTTAAAGTCAACTATCCAGGTAACAGGTAATAAAATAACTCTGGAACATTTTTTAAAATATTAGTATTCAATACAAAGACTTATGAAAATCTATAGTCTCCATGATTTGTCAATTTTAGAAATCACCACCCTTATAGAATTATAGCACATAGCTTATAAAGTATTTTATAAAGCTTTATTTCAAAGAGGTTCCCCAGTTAATTAGAACCCCACACACTAGCAATAAATGTGCAGGATATGGACTTGCCCGTGACCAGCCAAAACTTGAAACATAAAAGAATCATTACATCACTAGTCCTCATTGCATCCCTGAATCAGTTTCTATTATAGTGCACATTTTAAAACAGACATGTGACACAGGTTACACGCAATTTCAATAGCCACCAAATAAATGGCATAACAAAGAAATGAATTCAGATTTCCTCAATATTACATGAGAATTCCAGATCACATGACTCTTCTAAAGGTCATATGTGGTAATACGTGTAGAATGTTAAGAATTTAGTAACCAGGGTCATAACGGAAAATGATGTCTCCTACAGAACTAAAAGAGGAACTAGCTAGTCATATTCATAAATATATGGGGTCTAGTGCCTCTTGAATTACAGAATCAGAGCTGAGCCAAGATTTGAATATAAAGTCATTCAGCTCTACTGTGCGTAGACTTGGGACAGATCCAGTACTGTCCTTTCACTCTAGAGGCCCTGAAAGAGAAAAAGAACACTGGAAACCCCCAAATTACACCCATTAATCCTACACCCAGCAAGAAATTCTAGTTCCATCTGCTATGTGGGCTGACATGACAAAGAGCTTGACTTTACACAAGTCAAGCATTAGAGTAAATACCCTTTCTTCACCTACATTCTCAAGAAGCCACCCGATCAGTTCACTCCAGAGATGTGGAAGACAGGTTTTCCTAACAAGCTGAATCAAGAATCCTTACACGGATCAGGAGTTGAATACAGGTACACATTCATTCATAAATTCAAAACCTTTAGGATTATCTTTCTTGGAAAGGAACATACACTGGTGGTCTCTTCTGAGCTTTTGGCATCCCAACCTTTACACTCGAAGGGTATAGAAAAACTGTGTAATCCTTTGTATTTTATGAAGTGCTTTTTCCACAACTTCAAATCCTGTCCCTTATCAGAAATTCTAAGCAAAGTGAGACTAAGATAAATTAGCCAACTGACACAAGTGTAAGAATTTAAAGGGACAACTATATACATGCCAATTATGATATTCCAAACTCCTACTCTATGGCTTCTTGAAGGGATGTTTGAAAGTCTCAGGAGTTAAATTTATCTGAAAATAGCATCTGAAAATGCAAATAAATGTAACATTTCATTCTTTGAAGAAAAATCACTTATTCAGAATTCATGTTGAACACTGATCCCTAGTGCTTTTTTTTTTTTTTTTGCAAGTGTGGCTGAAGTTAGAATATAGCGTAACACTAATAAAACTGACAATAGCACAGAATTCTACCTTATTAATCTTATCTTCTTACCTTCAGATGAGCCTTCATGGCAATCCAATTCTAACCCATATTGACTTATCATGATTTCTTTTTTTTTTTTTTAAGGGAGAGAGAGGGTGCACAGGTTGGGGCAGAGGAAGAGGCGGAGAGAGAATCCCAAGCAGGCTCCACACTCAACATGGAGCTCAATGCGGGGCTCAACCTCATGACCATGAGATCATGACCTGAGCTGAAATCTAAGAGTCAGACCCTTAACGGACTGAGCTGCCCAGCCAATCCACCACTTCTCATGATTTAACACATAACCTTTTAACTGTTGTCCAAACTTTAGAGGAGTTGCTCCAGAACTACAAGATTTCCCACATTATTGGACAGTCTACCTCGTGCCTGTGGAATCATTCCAAAAATGCACCAAGGTCATTTTAAGTACTATTCTAATACCTCCCAAAATGCAGTTAGATTAAAGTGGGCATTTGTAAGTATTAAAACCTCTATTTGCTCTATCACCATTCAAGTGTTGGTGTAATACTATTTTTCCACACTAGCACTAACTTGTTAAAAATATCAGCGTATTTCCTATTAGTTTGTCCTGAATGTTTTTTTGGATAATAAAGTTATAACTCCCAAAAATCAAAAAGGTAATCTAACCTTCTACCTTAACTCATTCTTGTCAAATGCTACTCTGGCCATTATAATTTATTCCACCTAGAC